GTAATGGAATCCTTATATATAAAGGAGCTGCGGCCTCTGTTAAATAGCAACCTTTCAGCTGTTCAATTGTACACAGTATAGTGCACAGTAGGCCCTGTAATTTGATTTTTAGTTTATTTTGGTAGTTTAATTTTGTTTAGTTTACCATGTCTTTGCCCTTTCTTACTCATTTCAAGTCTTAACATTGTACATTAATATAATCTTTTATTTAGGATATATAATACATTTTTTGGTATTTAATTTTACTTAATATTTGAGTTTTTTATATGATTTTGGTTTGTACTTTATAATTGTCGTTTATTCTGTTTGTATTTTACATACAGTTTTTGTAGATTTGTGGTCATTTTATAAATATTTCTTATAGTGTTTAGTATCTATGTGTTAGGTATCAAGTTTCACTTCTGATCACTTCACGTAAGTTTAATGGAAAGGTTTGTTTCAGTAGTTATAAATTTCATCTTGTAGTTTAATGGATTTTAAATTAGTTTTAATATATGTGACAGTTAATAAGTTTTATTTGTATTGATCACTTTAAGTGCGCTTAAGTGTTTTGTTTTTTAAGCATTTTCCTTTCTTTGATAGACAATTATATTCAGTATGAGTTCTTTGTTTACCAGCTATTTGACTGTGATTTCTGTTTTTTCTTTTAGATCTGATGATGAATACGAGAAGTATTCGAAACGTTATGTTTTTTAAAGTAAAGATTCTGATACAAGATGTTCAGTATATCCCTGGTTTTCCTATTCATCTTAAAATTAAGATTCCCGAAGGGAACATCGATCATAAATATTATATATATATATATATATATAATATTATATATTTCTTCCAATAACAAAGTTTCACTTAACAATTTTGTGACATAATCCAGTGAGTTGAATGCAATGTCTTAAGGGAACAAACAATGCATTAGACTCTTGACCTGTCCGTATGCTGTATTCTTCGGTCTAGGTGCTTCTTGGTTTGTCCTACATAGAATTGATTATAAATTGTGCATTAATTTTATAAACACAACTAAATTATGCATTTAAGTGATGATGAAATGGCACAGTTATTGTATTCTTTATATTGCATTCAAACTAAAGAAAGTATTACGAAGAGCTTTACTAGATTTTTCAATAAAAGACTTAAGGTATTTTAAATTGAAGCTTATGCGAAATAGAGTATTAATTCCGTATCTATATATTCACAACTACATATCCTTAGACCTCTCAAAAACACTGAAGAAAATACAGCTTGTTTTACTCTATCATGATGGGATGAGTAAAGATGTTCATAAGAACATCTTAACTCATCCCATCATACAGAAAGATTGTATAAAAACAACAAAAAACATGTGTTTTTATACATACAGAAAGCTTGAAATGTTCAAGTTTATACACTAAAATATCCAACAAAATTCAATAATTGTTTTGTTCACTTTTCATTATGAATTTAATAAATGGGGGGCCAGATTATTTAACTCTACACAGAAATCTGAATATATTTTTATTATAGACCCTAAACCTAACATAAAATCAACATGACGAAACCATGTGCCTTGAGAAGGCCCATCCGTCTCTGGCGGATTATTAAGGCCACTACAATAGGCAGGCGATGAGTCACAATAACGTGGCTGAAGTATGTTGACCAATCCACACACTAGAAAATAAAGGGACGACGACGTTTCGGTCCGTCCTGGACCATTCTCAATCGACTGGACCATTCTCGGTGAGAAATTGTAAAGTCCGATTGAGAATGGTCCAGGACGGACAGAAACATCGTCGTCCCTTCATTTTCTGGTGTGTGGATTAAGGCCACTACAATAGCTTACTGAACAGCCAGCGAGTGTACCGTAGCCTCGACCATAGCCCATGAATAAAGTAAACTGCGTTATTTATCGAAAAGTTGAGTGTGTATCCCCGTTGAGCCGACTGGAAGGACCGATCAGTTAACCGCTGCTATACGACGCCAAACAATCAGATGCAGGCAACATGCAGCAGGCATATGAGACCTACATGTTAGGCCTTGAAATTAGGTACTGATAGAATTATTAGGTCTAAATCAAAGATAAACACTAATAATAAACTTGTGATTTGATGTAACATTGTCTCGCGCCACTGGGTATCAGTATGTAACAGAATTAGACATATTGAAAAGGCACATTAAAGTTCAGCCTGTTAACTATTTGTTTATATGTGAAAATATCCATTTGAGGTTATTCATTATTTAATGGACGGTACATCGACGGCTTCGCTTCTTGCAGGTCGGTGATCAATTCCCGATGGTCCAAGTGGTTAGGCACCGTCCCTTCCCTCCGTCCTATCCCAGATCCTCGTCCTCGTATCCCTTCCAAGTTCGTTCTCTCTCTCTCTCTCTCTCTCTCTCTCTCTCTCTCTCTCTCTCTCTCTCTCTCTCTCATTCATATATATATATATATATATATATATATATATATATATATATATATATATATATATATATATTATAATATATATAATATATACGTACTAGGTTAGCACTTTCTCCTGATTAGCTCGCTTCATAAATTACATGAAACTAATGCCACTGCCTTGTGCATAAGGTCGCTAGGCCTCCTGCCGCTGTTTATTCTTTTGAATTTCATAAACACCCATCGCCAGGTAATGTTCCAATATGGCAGCCCCGTGGTCTGGGGCCAGATTCACGAAGCAGTTACGCCAGCACTTGTGAACTTGTACATCTTTTCTCAATCTTTGGCGGCTTTGTTTCCAATTATTAAACAGTTAATGAGCTCCGAAACACCAGGAGGCTGTTTATAACAATAACAACAGTTGAAAGGGAAGTTTTCATGCTTGTAAACTGTTTAATAAATGTAACCAAAGCCGTCAAATATTGAGGAAAGATGTACACGTTCGTAAGTATTTGCGTAAGTGCTTTCGTGAATCTGGCCCCTGGAAAACGTTTATCGCTCACCAGTTTTATATCTCGATGGCTGCAAGTTCTGGTGGAAACTGGTGCTCTATTCTCACACAGGCGACGTTCAGAGTCTGATTTGATTGTTGCCGCCCGAGGCGGCTAGGTTATTGTGCGCCCCATATTCATCCTGCGAGCGGTAGCGCAAAAAGCATTACAGAGAGCACGAAAGGTCTTTATCAGACCTCGTCTTAGATTATTACATAAACAATTTCATCTATCCTTCACACCGTATAGTTACATGTCGGCTAGTTACAGAGAATGTTCCATTTCAAGAGCTATGTATTTACAGGAAGTCATTATACATTAATGGTAGGTCTTATCGCTAATACATAATTGTTTGAGCAATTGAGATATTACAGTCATCGGGGAGCTGCTGTTTATTATTAGTCTACACAATACACTACTTGTTTCTTAATCTCGTATGTCGTTTATATACTGGAAGGGGAATTATGGATACAGTGCAAGGATTTCAGGTATTATATCCTTGGTAATAAGATAGGTTGCCATATCATACAGCGTGAGCTTAGATTTCTCTCTAAATGGCTCAATTTTACTACAATCCAAGATATAGTCTGCGAAGCCTCGTTCGGGATCTTGATGGAAGTCGTCCAATGGTTTGTTCTGCATATGTTGCCGATGTTGCTATCCTTTAATTTGCTTCCGGTGTCATTGGTGCGGTGGTCACGGTACTGTGTACGTTTAGGGGGTGATCCTGGACGGCATGGGTTCGAATCCTGGCCGGGTCAAAGAGTTCTTAGTGATATATGGCTTGCGCGTTCATGCAGCTTTCTCACATATGTGTGTATATATTATATATATGCACACATCTCGACGCGCATGAGCGAGTGTTTGGTTTCTAGTTCATATAAAAGACACTTCCGTGGAGCTATCAAATGACAATTAGCAAACCAGGAAGACACAATCTTCATCCTTTTCCGTCCTGCTTTATCAATAATGCCTTATCTTAGAATTCAGTAGGATTGTGAGGCATGACGCGCGCACGTCCTGCCTGACGAACCTTCAACAGTGTGCGCACGTGGGTGCCTCCGTGGGCCTGTGTCTCCTTACCTAATAATGACTACGGTGAAGTGAGATCTAACTCTTTATGCCCTGCATATTAACCTTAGCCTTATGTGGGTGGGGGTGTATTTACTATTTGTGTCGGCAGAATCGAGCTATTAGTTCTTGGACTCCGCCTTTCTAATCAATCTATTTTTCCTTTATTATTTCTACTTCATATATTTCTCTTAAAACACACACACACACACACGCGCGCGCGCACACACACATCCCCAGGAAGCAGCCCGTAGCAGCTGTCTAACTCCCAGGTACCTATTTACTGGTAGATGAACAGGTGCATCAGAGTGAAAGAAACTCTGCTCATTTGTTTCAGCCTCGGCTTGGAATCGAACCCAGGCCCTTAGGACAACGACTCTCCCGAGCGCTGTCCACCCAGCCGCAAGGCCCCTAATCCCAGTGTAATAACTTGTACTAACCTGTGTGTGTGTGTGTGTGTAATGTATGTATATATGTATGTGTGTTTGTGTGTGCGCGCGCGCGCTTATAATATTGATGTATTCTTAAAATCTTAAAGGTCGTTATCATGTCCTCTTTAAAATTTCACCTCTAGCGGGAATTCCATTTTCATGTCTGTAGCCCAGTCAACCACCTCGGCTCAGGAACGTGCCTTGATGCAATTTTTTTGACATTTTATAGTTATGTAACGTGCGTGTTTTCAGGGGTTCCATGAAAAAGCTGCATACTCCAAAAGTGGGTAGAATGTCGTTTGTATGGTGCACTTGGAAGGCTCCTTTGTCAAAGTTGCTGAAGGCTATCCGGACATTGACCAGTTTGGCGTGTGAGTGCGGATAACTGCCTTCGCGGCGTTGTCGTGTTGAGGAAGGAAGGTGTGATGGCGGCTTCGTGGGAGGGGGCGTGAGGGCGTGTTCGACAGAGAGGGAGAGGGAGAGGGGAGGGGGATGTGAGGGCGTGTTTGTAGGAGGAGCGTGGAAGACAGGCTTATAAAAGACACCGACACATTTCCCCCCACCCAGTCGTAACCACGCCTTCCCTGTGTGTGTGCGTTCATTTGCACGTTCTCCCCTCGCCAGTGCCACTTCGTTCAGTCTGGCCTTGTGGCTAGTGCCGCACCCCCAGTGACTAATACCGGCCGCAGCGTGTGGCTAATATCTGAAGCACTTCTCTGCCCATGTTGACTGCATCCTGTGGCTGATACCTACGGCGGAGCGTTGACTGATATCTGTCGTGTCCAGTGACTGCTACCTGTCACATGACTGTGGCTAGTGCCCGAATTAATCACTAACTGGCACTGGTGGCCGGGCGCAGGAGACGTGTTTGAGGCAGCAGCAGGAGCAGTAGTGGAGGTGTAGTGGCGGTGTGGACCTACAGGTCGCGCGCAGTGCTTGTCGCACCAGGACCCACACTCAACCATCATCAACATAAGGTGAGTGATGGGTCGCCCGCCATGCTCTAGTACACCGCCCAACCAATGCACACATCATCTTCAACGGCGTGTCAGGCTATTACAATACCAGAATTTAATGGCCGAAACAAACGAATTAGATATTGATGTATTAATCAAGCAGGTCAACAGATGCCAAGTAGCGAATAAAATAATAATCTCATCTGAAAAGAACTTTGAGTAGGTGCGGTCCTGCTCAACCGTTTATATATAATTTCTACAAAAGCTAGACACGTGACAAAAAAACTGTCAATATTCAATCACTATAAAACTCTCAACAATAAGTTCTTACTTTTTCTGGACCGTTAGCATCATTATATTCAATAGAGATGCGAGGAGGAGGAGGAGGACATATTGCACACATGTGCACACGCTTGTGCTGGAGTATGTATGGTTGTGTTGTAGTTATGTGGTGGTGTTGCAGTGTGTGTATGGTCTTATTGTAGTGTATATCGTGTTGGGGTGTACATGTGGTTGTATTAGTGATTATGGTGAGGTGTACACGTGGTTATGCTGTAGTGTACACGCATATGGCTGTGTCAGTAGTGTGTACACACACACCACACACACACACACACACACACACACACACACACACACACACACACACACACACACACACACACACACACACACACACACGTACGTCCCATGAGGCGGTCTTCTTCCACAACACCTCCCATGAGGCGGGACCAAAGAGCCAAAGCTCAACCCCCGCAAGCACAATTAGGTGAGTACACACACACATACACACACACACACACACACACACACACACACACACACACACACACACACACACACACACACACACACACACACAATGACTGTCAGTAGAAGTAACACTCAACTTTCAGGGACAATATTGACTGCAGACTGCGGCTACTTGTATAATTTTCTGCGGTAATTTGTCAATTCGTAATGAAGTGAGTAATCTTAGATCAGTAAATGTTTCTCTCGTGTTGCGAGATAAACACAAAAAAGACTAAACTACACCTACATTCTTGACCGCAAAACGACTAGTTATCTTGTGAACTAAAAACTACAAAAGTTGCTTCGTCAGATGAGCAGACTTTCCTGTAGCCTTATTAAGAACTTGACATTTGCAGTGGCATCCCATAAATATTAAATGTCAGCAAGTTTGACTTATTTTACGTGAATGTTGTTCAATTTGAAATTTGTCTATTTCAACATGAAGATAGCCTGGTCGTTATGGCACGAAGACAATACTATAGCACCACCACTATTATTAAGTGTTTAATCAATATTGGTCACTTTAGCACGTGTAGGAGTATTGAGTGTGTGGTGTGTCTTGTCTTGGCTCCGTTACCTTTACTTTCGCCTCTCACTCGCGTGTGCGAGGTCTTTCTTTGGCTCGCACTCTCACTTTCACTCAAGGTTTCTCTCCCACTTGACTCGCCACTGGCAACTAGTTCGGTCTCCTTCTTACTCTCACTCGGTCTCCTTCTAGGTCACTTTCCCCCTCTGGCTCTCCCATTCCACACCCCCCCCCCCCTTCCATAACCCCGCCCTACCTCTCCCCAACACTCACACGCCCCCCCACCAATTACCACACCCTCCCTCACCCTCCACTCACTCCCCTCATCCATTGGTCCGCTCTCACACATTCCCCCCCCCTCCATTCCCTAAGCACGCCCCCACACATCTAACCCCCCCCCCAACCGGCTCTCCCTACCTCCTTTTTGTTTCTCTCCTGCCTCTCAATTTTCTGTCTCTTCCACTCACTTGTTCACTTCCACTTTCCACCGTCTCTCGCCTTGCTAATATCCCCCCCCCCCCCCCCCTTCTCTCTCTCTCTCTCTCTCTCTCTCTCTCTCTCTCTCTCTCTCTCTCTCTCTCTCTCTCTCTCTCTCTCTCTCTCTCTCTCTCTCTCTCTCTCTCTCTCTCTCTCTCGTTTGTCAGAAAAGGAAAAATATGTGAGATGTTAATTCAGGTCTCCATTGGGACATTCTATGGGCACTGATTAGCATAACATCAGTACCAGTCACACCGTACTACCTACGCCACACCATTACGGTGTATAGGTAGTGTGGCACTATCTACGCCACAACATTACGGTGTGGCGCTACCAAGGCTATTAGATAACCATTAGATACATTAGAGTTCATATCTTGACGAGGATTTCCCACCTAAGACAAATAAACAAGGTCCAGAGATTTACTAAAATACTGGTTCCTGAACTTAAATAACCGCGCCACCAGGAAACACTGTGGAAACTAAATCTCACCACGCTGGGAAAATGGGAAGGTAAAAAGTGCCATGATCGCGACATGTAAGATTCTTAGATTCATTGACAAAGTATACAAATACTAAATGATCAGCATGAACACGGGATAGAACGAAAGAGATGGATGAAAACTATAATCTCATATAAGAGCAGAAGGGTGAAGGAAACTACAGTGAAATAAAAGCATATTGGTCAAAACGAAGCAGCTTCAATTTATATACAGACTTGTATATATGTACAGTAAACTATGTCTAATCTATGTCTGAAATTATCGAGCGATCTCGTGTCAATACGGTGCTACGGCTTAGCGCCTTCTTTTGATAATTACTTTGCTCACATCTGTTATATTATCCGTTAATTTGTTCCGTAAATTAACAACAGTGTTTCCAGACCAGTATTTACCCAGGTCTCTCCTAAATCTAATCTTATCCAATTTATATCCATTGCTTCGTGTTGTGTTTTGTATTGATAAATTTGAAAGTTTATGATGTGGGGCAGAGATGTATATAAGCACTTGAGTATAAGATCAGTGAGCAAGTTGTCAGAGCTGAAGCTGCAGGTAGCCCAGGTGTACTACATGTATACACACTTTGAACAATTGGTATGATGAAAAGCTAAAAGATGAGGAATCATTGCAGTAGGCTATTGAAAGTCTGGCCCCACAAGCTGAAGCTCGCCATGCAATCACTTATTTATATACAAGAAGGTACATTGGGGGGTTAAGAGAGAACATATTAATGATGTTGATTTTACAATCTTGTAAAGCCACTAGCACGCATAGCGTTTATAGCAAGTCTTTAAACTAACTGATAATTTTAAGTAGATAATTTATGTAGATAATAACTTATGTTTGTGCACGCACGCATACGTACATTGGGGGGTCTCATGGCTGTGTGGACAGCACTCAGGGGGCGTAATTCTAAGAGTCCGGGTTCGATTCCCGGCCGAGGCAGAAAAAAATGGGCAGAGTTTCTATCACCCAGATGCACCTGTTGACCTAGCAGTAAGTAGGTACCTGAGAGTTAGACAACTGGCACGGGCTGCTTCCTGGGGGATATGTGTGTGTGTGTGTTAAAGAGAAATATATATAGTAGACATAGGAAAAATTTGATCGGTTAGAAAGGCGGGATGCAAGAACTAATAGCCGTGTTCTACAGGCACAAATAGTAAATACAAATATTGTAATAATAATACAAACATACATACACACGTACGTACGTACAAAGTGCACAATACGCCCTCGCCTTGAACTCGATGAGAAATTGGAGATATATATTTTTCTATCATTGTCAAACTACTGTTTTTTTATGTAATATTTTAAAGCTTTCAAATATTACGTGCAGACAATTCCTGGTATGTCACAGTGTGTGTGTTTGGGGCACCAGGAGCCTAGAGGCGTGGCTGTGTACTCCAGTATGGTATAGAAACTTCATTTCTTTAACATTACAAGAAAGATGAAATAGATACACTTCCCGTCTCTGTATATTATTTATATCGACTGTGTGTGTGTGTGTGTGTGTGTGTGTGTGGGTGGGTGGGTGGGTGGTTGTACGTGTTCGCACGCATCTGCGCGTGTGTGTTTGTACGTGATCACTGTCACTCAAGTCTGGATTACCAGAGAGTGTTCCAGCAGGCACGTCCGGTAACGCTGGAAGGAACCCAATGGTGTCCTGGTTATACTCTCGCCGGGTTTTGCCACAGGGAAATATAATGCCTGAGTAAAAACTTGTATTACTGGGACGGATAAGTGAAACGTTCGTAAGAGGATGGGCCAAGGGTTGGTGTGGCCAGGAGTTGGTGTGGCCAAGGGTGGGTGTGGCCACGGATTGGGGGGGGGCTGCTGCATTTGTCAGTCAGGATGTTCAATGTCAATCCGAAGGACGTGAGTTTTGCTTACCAGAAATTAAACAAAAACATATCCCTTGAATTTGAAAAATAACTAAGAATAAGTATTATAAGAAATGTAAGTATCACAGTGAATGATGAGTGAAGTAACTGGTGTGAATTTCATTTTGCCTCAAGTCTACGAGATTTTGTTGATGTTCCCGGAATATTACTGCCCTCAGGCTGCTGAGAGGCAGTCCAAGATGGTAATCAATTCCCTCTTCATGAGTAAAAGTATTGGCCAACTCAACAGTTCTATCATGCATTCGGAGACCAATATGGGAAGGAATCCACAGGAGACAAACTCTTGACTCCATCATTGATATTTCATTATATCTGTGTCTAGCTTCAGAGACAAGCATGTCACAGCTTTTAATTTAAGAAACAAGGAGTCACTTACAATTAGCGTGTCAACTTAGATTCATATACGCGCTATCATCATCATTCTATTATGCAGGAAGAACCGCACGTATATGGGTCATCCAGTAAGGTTAGCAGACTTCTAGATGTTACCACTGCTTAAGCTTAGGCTCGGCTACAAGTACCTCTGGGAGTTTGAAACATCTGCTGATGTAGATTTGACTAAATGTAGACTGTTAGCAGAACTATTCGCAAACTTTGCGTCATTATGTAATGGAATGTGAACAAATTGCATAATTCAGAGATAACCCCATCAATGGTGTCCAAGAAATGTGTAAGTACTTCATTCATAATGATGTACTGCTGGGAATCTTAGCGAAGTATCCACGATGTGGTTACTGTAGGTGCAGCCTGCACATGACTGTACAGCTGCCGCCCAGTTGGGTGGGTGGAGAGAAAGACCAGTAACTGTGTGACCCACTATAGATAT